GACACAGGTCTTTCAAGAGTCCTGCGACAGGACAGAGGCTGGAGCCCACTGTGAAGGTGCAGAGCCCTCGCCCTTGCCTCCACACACCCAGTACCCAGCCTGGGGGTGGGCATGACAGTGGTCTCAGATAAGGAAGGCAGCGTCAGAGAACAGCCCCCACCCCCACCCCACCCAGGTCTACTGTGTGTGAGCCAGTCAAGGGGCTGGCTCTCAGCCCAGATCAGATGTATGCAGACAAGCCCCAACAGGAGTAAAACCACCCTGGCCACTTCAGGGATTTAGTCTGGGAGAAAGACGGCCAAAAACTGGCTTCTCCGCGGCTGTCTCAAGCTTCCGATGAGCTCTACAGAAACAAGCATCCAATTTAACGAGAGCTCAAAGGCAAGAAATAAACCAAAGGGTGAAGAGACTGCAGCTAAGGAGCCCATCTGAGAGCTGAATGTTACCAAGGGAGAGCTAATAAGGAAATGAGAGTGGCCAGAGGCAGAACAGACATGACTGAGGACGAAATCAAGGCCAGTAAAGGTCTGGGAGCGTTTCCGTAGGTGCTGGGGGAAACAGGAAAGGGTCACCTCACCCAATCAAAGGGAGTATGATAAGACATGGGAGGCAGAGGCGACGAAACAAAGAATAACTGCTTTCCCGAAACAGATAACCCACCAAGACTAACAGAGGAAATACTCAGAAATAGAATGCAAAGAAATGTCCCTGGAGTAAATCTGGCCTTGCCTTTTCTCCAAAGCCATGTTCAAAACCACAGGGATCTGAAAGGATCTAAATAGATCCCTGAACGAGAAGGCCGAGCCATGTTGTCAAGCATTAAGGTAACAGGCAGAAACTTTCCGTGTGAGCTCAGAAATACCACCCTCCACACCACAAGAAACTGCTCTCTAGAACTTTCGATCACAAAAGTCTAGCGGTGATCACTGCGCGCAGTGAAATGGGGACAGAAAGAGGAGCGCACAATGAAAAGGGCACATGGGGGAGGGGAAAAAGAGGAGCTGATACCAAAGGCTCAAGTAGAAAGAAAATGTTTTGGAAATGCTGATGGCAACAGATGAACTAGTGTGCTTGATACAACTGAATGACGGATTGTCATAAGATTTGTAAGGAGACGAGCCGGTCAGGGGGCAGTGTAGCAATGATGAAACATACAACTTTCCTCTAGTTCTTAAATGCTTCCTCCCCGCTAATATCATGATCCCAATTCTACCTTACAAATCCAGCAGGACCGGAGGATGTACACTGCTATAGATAGGAACTGGAAACACAGGGAATCCAGGACAGATGAAACTTCCAGGTCCAGTGGTGAGAGGGGTGATACGGTGAGGGTGGAGGGAAGGTGGGGTAGAAAGGGGGAACCGATTACAAGGATCTACATATAACCTCCTCTCTGGAGGTCGGTCAACAGAAAAGTGGGTGAAGGGAGATGTTGGACAGTGTAAGACATGACAAAATAATAATAACTTGTAAATTATCAAGGGTTCGTGAGGGAGGGGGTACTGGGAGGGAGGGGAAAAATGAGGAGCTGACGCCAGGGGCTCAAGTGGAGAGCAGATGTTTTGAGAGATGACAGCAACAAATGTACAAATGTGCTTGACACAATGGATATATGTACGGATGGGGTTAAGCGCGGTACGAGCCCCCAATAAAATGATTAAAATAAAAATGGACAAAGAAAAAGATTTGTAAGAGTTCCCCCAATAAAATGATTAATAAAAAAAATAAAGGTTGGTGTAAGACATGAAAAAAATAATTTACAAATTATCAAGGGAACGTGAGGGAAGGAGGGGAAATGAGCTGATATCAAGGGCTCAAGAAGAAATAAAATGTTTTGAAAATGATGATGGAAACATGAACAAATGTGCTGGACACAATGGATGGATGGATTGTGATAAGAGCTGTAAGAGCCCTGAGTTAGTTAATTGTGCCAGCCTGGCCAATAATCACATGTGGTGCTGGTTGAAAGGCGGAGGGATAAATGGGTGGTGAGCCTCGGCCTTTCTAGTTCTCGGGTCTCTTGCTTTGTGATGGTCGCACCAGGATGCAGCTGCCTTAGCAGCTCCCTGCTTCAGCTTGCAAGATTGACGTCCTACAAGACATCCCCAAGGAGAAGCCACATGGACCTATCCCGATGCAGCCCTGGGTGCTGGAGCAGCCGTGTGGAGACCCCTGCTAGTGCTGAGATGCTTATTCGTTCACGGACTCAGCTTTCCTCCTGCAGTTGGCATCATTGCCTCTGTTTTGTGAGGTGGAGGACTTTGTGGACTGGTGTTGGGTTAATGGGTTAATGTTGGACTTGTGGGCTTGGGCAGCATTGGGTTGGGATGTTTTCGTGATGCACATTTTCTTTGCATAAAACTCTCTCTTATACATGCGTTGCTGTGGATTTGTTTCTCCAAAGTACCCAGACTAATACAAGCCCCCAATAAGATGTTTAAAAAAGAAAAGGACATGTGGTCAACTTTGACCAAGAGACAAGACAATGAATGAGCAGGCACTGGGAGCCAGAGGCAGAACGGACAGAAACTGAAGTAAGAATCCCCTCACGTCTCACAGCAGGAAGTCAGCTTTTCTAGTAAGTAGATGCAAAATTACATAGAACTTTTAACTCGAAGGAAAAAAACCACAGTACCCATAGCATAGTCCATTCTTTCTGAAAATTATACTTCTACTAGCTCTTTTTCCCTCAATCTTGAATTCAGATACAGGATCTGAATAGAGCTGTCCAGGATGATGGCTTCCCAGAGTTAATATAAGCGGAAGGTTACCATTCATGGAAAGAAAAGACAGAGAAGGGGCCCTGCAAGCCAGCGTCACTAGCATACCCATCCAAACGCCCACATTCCTAGCTCCATCCAGGCCTCTCCTGAACTCCACACTCCAGCTCTTTAGGCAGCATCTCTACTTGAGGATTGGCCCAAACCAAAGCCCATTGCCACGGAGCCAAGTCCGACTCTCAGTGACCCCACAGGACGGGGTAGTTTCTGAGAATGTCAACCTGCACAGGAGCAGACAGCCTCACTTTTCTCCCAAGGAGCAGGTGGTGGGCTCGAACCCACCGCTCACCCATGCCACCAGGGCTCCTTGAAGAGCTAGGAAGTATTTAGAATTTAACATGGCCCCAAGCAAAGTTTTGATCTTTTCTTCCACATCTGTTCCGCCCCCCAGCCTTCCCCATTTCTGTAAATGCAGGTCAGAACCTTGAAGCCATTCCCGGCCAGCTTTCTCGCACATCCCACAGCCAATCTGTCAGCAAAGCCATAGCTCCACCGTCGTACCACCTGCTCTATCAGCCTGGTCCATGCGCTTATTTGAGATGGGTGGCTGCAGCAGGGCCCTAACAGGGCCCTAATACTATTTTCTAAGCAGCTAGCTCCCACGGCCATCTTTTTAAAGCATAGGTCAGACCACATCTTGGCAAAAACCCTTCAAGAGTTGTCACCACCAGCAGAAGAAAACTTTTTTTTTTTTGTACCTCCCTGCTGACATTACTGGGCACGTACTGGCTCTGGACCATTAGGTTGGGGTTCAAATCCACCAGCTGCTCCTCAGGAGAAAGACGAGGCTGTCTGCCCCTGTAAAGTTACAGCCTCAGAAACATTTAGGGTCGCTACGAGTCAGAATCCACTCAATGGCAGTGAGTTTCTGCCAGAGCCCTGGGGACGCAATGGTTCAATGTCAGCTGGGAGAATGGCGGCGGTCTGCTTCTGTAGATCTACAGCTCTGGAAACCCCACGGACCCACCCTCTCTTAGCGAGTCAGTCTGAGTCGACTCCAGAGCAGTAGGCTTCGTTTTTGTTTTTATGCAGGCTCCTTCCACCTCCACCCTCAATACTTGAGTCCCAAGCTTCATGCCCTCACTTCATTCAATTCTCGGGCCCAAATAACCTCTTCTCAGGAAGGACTTCCCTGGCCACCCACTGCCACTGAGTGTATTCCGGCTCAGAGGGAACCTATGCAGGACAGAACAGAACTGCTTCACAGTGTTTCCATGACTGTAAATCTTTATAACCTCATCTTTCTCTCTTGGAGCGGCTTGTGGATTTGAACTGCTGACCTTGTGGTTCGCAGCCTAATCTTCATCCACAGCACCAAGACGCCTTCTTCCCTGGCCAATCCATAAAAAACGAATCCCACACTTACCTTGCGTTACAGAAGAGTTTTTCCTTTTGCTCACAGGTAGATCCTTAGAGCTTAGGATGGTATTTCACACAAAGCAGGGGCTCAATATTTGCTTAGTAAAGGCAATCAGTAGAAACACTCAGTATTTTTCCCCCCAGCCCCCCCCAATATTGAAAACTGTGCTCTTTCTTTACTTCTGATCGACCAGGGTACTCTATAAAAAAATCTCCAAACTCACTGACATCGAGTCCATGCCGACTCATAGCCATCGGATAGGGCAGGGTAGAACTGCCCTGTGAGTGTCCGAGACTGTAACTCTTCATGGAAATAGGAAGCCTTGTCTTTCTCCCAAGCAGCAGCTGGTGGCTTCAAACGGCTGACCTTGTGGTTGTTACCCTGTAACCACTATACCACCAGGGCTTTCTCGGTAGGCTACTCTGTAGAAGACTACAATGCAGGCAAATATGATCCCTTCGTGAACCATACACAGAAGTTGGTAGAAACTCTGTAAAGGTCAGAGTTGGAAGACGGCTGGTGGGCAACCCCATGTGTTTGGGGAGGAGCTTCTGAGTGGTGCACAGTTACCGTGCTCGGCTGCTACTGAAGGAGTTGGAGAGCCAACTCCACCCAGCGCTGCCTTTTCAATCAGCCACCCAAGCTCTATGCAGCACAGTTCCACTCGGACACAGAGGGGTCGCCAGGAGTTGGCACTGACGTGAGGCAAGTAGAGCTGGTGTTCGAGGACGGATCTGTGCGAGAAGGGCAGGGGTAGTAACCAACTCAGGGCCCGACATGCCGCAAAGAGCGCTCTGGCTGCTTTACCCACCAGCGTGGGCAGTGACTGGTACCGGAAGCTAATGCCAGCTTAACTGTACCTGTCCCCGTGGGGTCACCTCCCTGGATCATGAAGTCTTTGATGATCCTGTGGAATTTGGTGCCATTGTAGTAACCTCGGCGAGCCAACTCAGCAAAATTCTTACAGGTCTTGGGTGCGTGCTTCCAGTATAGCTCCAGCACGAGGACCCCCATGCTGCAGGGAGAGAAGAGCACGGGCGAGTCAAGAACGGAGCCATGAGCCTCGATTCCGACTCAGAGCAACCCTACAGGGTAGGGCAGAACTGCCCCTGCGGGTTTCGGAGATGGAGACGTTTACAGCAGCAGAAACCATCATCTCTCTCCCACAGAGCGAGGTGGTGGTGTCCAACTGCAGCGGGCCAGTGCGTAACTCACTAGGCCACCAGGACTCCTCTGTGAAGTCCCCGCAGAAAAGACTGGCACAGGACACGCCACTCTCAAGCTCGCAGATCTGGAAATGGTGACAACCGTGGGATTTCACGGAGAGCAAGTTGCTGCAATGGAGAGGATCAGACATCACCTTTTGAGTACAACAGAGAGAGATTTCTGGTACTTCCAGCGAACAAAATAACCACAGGAAGACACCTCAAAATCCTAGTACCTGACACGTGGAAGTATTATCCTGGGTTATCTGGAACCAATATAACCAACTGTAAAATTTGAGAAAACAAAACACTTACAGATTAAAAAAACGAGGACATTAAAATAGCATGAATTTCTGGGTGGGGATGTGAACTGCATACACAAGAGACAAGGATGAGAAGAAACATTTTTAATGAATTCCTTTAATTTTTTAAAAAACATTTTGAACCATAACAAAAGACTACCAATTAAATTGTTTTTTTTAATGTAGGAGATTAAAGGTACCATTTGTGTGGGTTTGGGAAGGAGTGCAAAAACGGATAAAAACTTTTGCACGTACCCAATGTAATGAGAGCTTTTTGCCTCTAAAAGGAGCCCTACTGGTTTAGTGGTTACAAGTAAGGCGGCTATCTGAAAGGTTAGCAGTTTGAAACCACCTCAGGAGAAAGATGAGGCTTTCTACTCAATTTTAACAGTTACAATGTTGGAAATTCAGGGGGTCAGTTCTACCCTGTTCTATCTGGTGGCCGAGTCAGCATTGACTCAATGGCAGTGGGTTTGGATTTTCGGTTTTAGTGCTGCTGAGGACACAGAGCTAAGAAACTAGGACAGATGTGTTCTCCACACCATCACTTTTTAAGTGTTAAGAATGTGAGAACTCTGAAAAAAAAAAAAAAAAAAGAATGTGAGAACTCTGTATGATGCCCACCTCCCCAACACAATCGCTAAAGACAAAATGGGTGCATTGGGGTGAGGAAAGCCCGACTATCAAGTGCTATAGCATCCGAGGTCTTAAAGATTTGGAGTTAAACAAGCGGCCATCTAGCAGGGAAGCAACAAAGCCCACACAGAACCACACCAGCCCGTGTGATCATGAGGTGTCGGCAGAAGAGGTATCACAACTTCAAAAAACAAGCATCCAAATTGATATGAAGGGGACTGGATGTAGTGGAGACCCAAAGTCCACCAGCAAGACAATTAGTCCCTTTCAGTAGGGCCTCATGGAACAGAGGATAAATCCAGGGTATAGTGTGGCACTGATGAACCACATAACTATCCTCTACTTCACTAAGATTCCCTCCCCGTACTATTATGGCCCATACGTGATATACTCATTGATCATGTTAGACTTGCGTGTGCTCATTTGTACATTTGAGATCGTCCAAGTACATGGTAGTCAAAATAGATGACCCTTCAGAGACACTGACCAGAGTAATGGTTCCTGGAGGGTACGGGAAAGGGGGGGGGGCGGAGTTGAAAGCATAGCAGTGAAGATTGTATAGCCCCACCCGATGGGATTGAACAACAGAACTGTATGGGAAGGAAAGGGATATATTGGAATAAGCAAGATATGTCAATAAAAATACTATTCAAAGAAAAAAAAGGATGATGCAAATGTTCTAAAAGTGATTGGGGTGATGAATATACTCTCATATACTTCAACAATGAATTTTATGATGTATAAATCATGTCAATAAAACTTTTTAAAAAAATGCAAGAACAGAGTCTATCATCCTAGTGCCTGGACACCAGGCATCGAGCACAGTGCCTTGTACACTGTAAGTACTCTGTGTGTGAACTGTGCTTTCTAACAGCCTTTCTGCCGGCAACCCACTCCACACTTTCATGGATTCATGGTCATTTTGTGCCTGGCACTGAGGGTGCTTCATTATATAGATGCTTTTACCCTGAGGGAATTTATATTCTGGTAGATAGTTCTGAAGTGCAGGGAATAGCCTCATGGAAGAACTATCAAGAAGTCTTACAGAATTGTGAAATGTGTACACTTTTTGACTCAGTGATGTCACTTTCCAAGTATCTACCCTGTGGACACTACTCTAAGAGCCTAAGGATACAATGTGTATTTTAAGCAATTTAAATGTTCTACCAATAAGAAATTAGTACAAAATGAACTACTACTGTTTCCCTGAAAGTAAGACATCCCCCGAAAATAAGACCTATTTACAGTTTTGTCTCTGGCTGAAATATAAGGCATCCCCCCGAAAATAAGGGTTTGGATTGTTATGATGATGTTCCATATGATGACATGACTGTCATTGAATACATGAGTAAATGTACCATAGATTGTTGTACATGGAAATAATGGTAGTAACAAGAAATTCTTGATACTGTAGGATTCACAGTTTGTCTGGTTATGCTGGTTTGTGATGACAACTACTACCGTACCGTATACAGGTAATAAATTTCCTTTTTTGTTGTTCAACAATAAATGTGTACCGTATTCTTCTTCATGGAAAAATAAGATATCCCCTGAAAATAAGACCTAGTGCATCTTTGGGAGTAAAAATTAATATAAGACACTGTCTTATTTTCAGGTAAGCAGGGTAGAACTATGGTGGGTTACATATACAAAGCTCATAGAAGAAATAGAATTTAAAGATAATGGTTTGTCCATGAACTTTTTGAAGCCCGCTCACTCTGCTAGGTGAAAGCAAAGCAAAAAACAGCAAGACTGTACGTCCCTATTTTTGTTAAAAAATAAATAAAAAGGAAACATCAAACAGATGTGATATATATATTGAAAACAAGCTCATAGATCCTTCATCAAACTATTAATAGTGTTTACAGGGAGAAACTGGCTTTCCGTTCTTCCTCCATACACTGGAATTATTTGTCTGGATTAAATTCAGGTTGGGACCTGAAGCAGGACATGTTTGCCATATCAGTTGGGGAGGATGGCCAGGGAGCAAGAGCAGCATGGGCAGAGGAACTCCTGGTCACAAACTGAAAAAACGAGCCCACAGTTGGGCCCTAACTGCAGATGTAGGACTGTATAGGTGATGTCTTCAGAGGCAAGAACGCCCAAAGAAATCACCTTGTAAGTCAGCTCTACCGTAGCAGCACGAAATCACTGAAGGTTTTTGAGGAGCATCTCATGTCCTAATCTGTAAGATCGTTTGAGCACTTCCCAGAGACCCGACAGAAAGATGGGAGCTAAAGGATCGAATGGCAGACAAACCAGGCTCCAAACGAAGTCCCCCACATATTTACTAGCTGTGTGGCTTTGGTGAAGCCATTTAATGCGAACATTTCAGTATTTCCCTTGCTCAAACGGGAAGGAAGTGGACTAACAACTCCACGATTTGAGTTGCCTGGATTTAACTAAACGCCATGGCATATATTGAGGGCACGGCACGAGTAGTGGGTGCTTCATGATATTTATTCTACATCGCTCTCAGAGGGGGAGAAATCTGTGTTCTCACAGTAATTTGTTTAATTACATATCTGTCTCCTCTATACCGCGAGCTGTGTGTTTCCACCTCCTTAGGCTCCCATCCCGGATCGTACACGCTTGCCCCGTGGACTCAACGCACGCTAGTGGAATGAATGAATGAATGAACGAACGGAGCGGTTGGCGGGCCGCGGTCGCTGAGGTGTCAGCGGGGGTCGGTGCGAAGCTCGGATGAGGGGGTGGCGGCCCCCACTACGTGCTCAGGCCGCCCCAAGCCGGCCGCTCTACGCTCTTCCACGTGGAGCCCGGGCTCCGGCGGGAGCGCGGGAAGCGAGTCTCTTGGCGATGCGCGGGCTCCGCCCGCCTCTGCCAGCCCCCGGGCCCGACACCCCTCACCTGGTCTCCAAATACACGTTGGGCGGCTGCCAGGAGTCTGGGGGGATCGCCGCCATAACGAAATCGGCGGGATCTCCCGCTGGCAATAGCTACTTCCGGCGTCGATTCACCGGAGACCGGCGGCAGCGGGCCCACTTCCGGTCCCGGCGTTCCACCCCTTCGACCCCAGGATTTGAGGGAAGAGGAGCAGTGAAGGACTCCTCTTCCTCGGGTCAGGAGGCCGGAGCGGGAAGTCGGAAGAAGCCGGGACTTCTTCTGAGCTGGAAGTCGGAAGAAGGCGGGACGCCGCGGGGAGTGAAGAAAGCTCCCGCGCCATCAGAACAGGCTTCCGGGAGGCGGGCCCAGGCCGCTCTCCGAAGATCTGATTGGTTTGTTCGCGCACGGGGGCGGGAACGCTAGCACGCCTACACTCTGATTGGAGCAGTGTCTTCACCTTCAACCCCCAAGACCATCCTAGACCTGCGATTGGGCGGGAACCCGAAAGGGAGGAGAAGGTTGAAAAGGATGGGAGCAGAGAAACCGGTGACGCGTTGAGCTGCAGTCAGGTCTGCAGTTCGCTCCCTGCCGTCTCTCCCCGGGAGAAAGACGAGGCTCTCTGTTCCCTTAAAGATGTATGGTCTCTGAAACCCCCTGGGACGGGTTTGCTCTGTCATGCAGGGTCGCTATGAGTCGGAATCCACTTGATGGCAGCAAGTTTGTTGATGTTGAGCTTTTCTAAGGATCTCTATGGTTTACATAGTTACATACTAATTTTTAAAAAATCATTTTATTGGGGGCTCGTACAACTCTTATCACAGTCCATACATAAAGCGCATTTGTACATTCGTTGACATCATTCTCAAAACATTTACTCTCCATTTAAGCCCTTGGCATCAGCTCCTCATTTTACTGCAAGCAATCCTGTAAACAGTACTTTCCCACTTTTCAGATTTGAAAACTCGACAGTTTAATGACTTGCTTCTTTACCGTGCATCATACGGCAAATCTGAGCCTCCCTGATTCCAAAGGCAAAGAGGAAGAGGAGCTGAAAGGGGTAAATAAACAAACAAAGCTGCCAAACTGCCATTGAGTCCAGGACGACTCACAGCGACCCTATAAAACAGGATAGAACTGCCCTGTGGGTTTCTAACGCTATGGAAGTACAAAACCCTTTCTTTCCCTTGATGAGTGACTGGTGGATTCGAACTGCTGACCATGGGCTAGAAGCCTAACTGGTAACCACTACCCACCAGAGTTCCTCTCAAAAAACTCGCTCCCAATGCTGAGTCATACTGACCCCCTGTGGGTGTCTGAAGCTGTAATTGTTTACAGGAGTAGAAAGCCCAGTCTTGCTGACTCGCAACTCCTGGTGGTTTTGTATTGATGACCGTGCGGATCGCAGCCCAACACGTTACCTTGACACCACCAGGGCTCCACAGCAGGGCTCCTAGGAATGAGTTGACCAAGGAGGTGAATGAGAAATACAGAAAGAGACTATAGAATGCAAGAGCAAGGGTTGAAGTGACTGATCAGCAGAGATGGTGTCCCATGGCTGTTAGAAGGGTTAACTCAGAAGAAACAAAATAGTGTGTGCAGATTTGAAAGGACAAGAAAGAAATGGGAGTAAGCAAACCTCTGTAGTAAATAGTATATGTTAGACTGTGGGGAGAAGTCAGATCCTTGCTGCCAGACTGCTGTCTCATCCCTCCACAGGGGTGGGCCTGCTCCCTGCCTCTGGGGACAATGGACAGACTCCTGTAGGAGGGGTTTGCACCCTACTGATAATGTTCATATGGAGACCCAGAGACCACCCCCTAGACCACCCTCTCATTGCTGTGTAACCTATGGTGCAGCCCCTTCCTGTGACGCATGTCTTTACCTGTAATTAGTGGGCTGGATTGCCCCCAAAAGGTATATAGGTGTGAGTCAGCAGGACTTCCCTCTCTGACTCTGAGCTCCTTGCTCCTCACTCCCTGGTTACTCCCCTCTCCCCTGTTTCCCTTACCCTCCTTCCCTTCCCCCTCTCTCCACGTGGACCACCAAGCTGGGCTGAGGTGAGCAATGTTACTATGTAACATGCCTGACTGTATTATTGTATTATCTCTCATGCTCTCGATGACTTTAATATAATGCTTATATATCACAACTGTACAATTGTGCATTACTGAACCCAGAAGTAGTCTTACTGAACCAGTGAGTTCAAGTACCGGGTGGGGCTGGCACCTCACCCCCCAGAGACAATTTTATTTAATACTACATTAGACTCAAATCAAACTCAATGCCTTTGAGTCAAATCTGACTCATAGCGACCATGTAGGATATAATAGAATGGCCTCTGTGGGTTTCCAAGACTGTAATTATTTCTGAGAGTAGAACACTTCCTTTTCCTGTGGAGTGGCTGATGGTTTTGAACTGCTGACCTTGTAGTTAACAAGCAGACCAGTGCATAACCACTGCACCACCAAGGCTCCTGTGTAGGTAGTTGCTGTCAAGTAGGTTCCAACTCACAATGGCCCATAAGAACAACAGAAGGAAACATACCCAGACCTGTGCCATCCTCACAATTGCTTTCTTTGAGGCCGTCATTGCAGTCACTGGGCCAATCCATCTAGACAAGGGACTTCCCTTTTTTGCTGCCCCGCCCCCCACCCCCTCTACTTTACCAAGCATGATAATCCTTCTTCAGTCACTGGTCTCTCCTGATAACACATTCGAAGTACGTAAGATGAAGTCCCGCTATCCTTCTGCCAAGGAGCATTTTGGCTGCATTTATTTATTTACTTGTTTAAAAACTTTTATTCGGGGCTCTTACTGTTCTTATCACAATCCATACATTCATCCATTGTGTCAAGCGCATTTGTACATAGGTTGCCATCATCATTCTCAAAGCGTTTTCTTTCTACTTGAGCCCTTGATATCAGCTCCTCGTTTTTCCCTCCCTCCCCCACTATCCCTCCCTCCCTTCCTCATGAACCCTTGATAATTTATTATTTTTTTCCTCAATAATTTATAAATTATTATTTTCATATCACATTGTCCATTGTCTCCTTTCACCCACTTTTCTGTTGTTCATCCCCCCGGGAGAGGGTTATATGTTGATCCTTGTGATAGGTTCCCCCTTTCTCACCCCACCTTACCCTTACCCTCCTGGTATCTCGATTCTTATTATTGGTCGTGAAGGGTTATCTGTCCTGGATTCCCTGTGTTGCTGGCTCTTACCTGTAGCAGTGTACATGTTCTGGTCTAGTCAGATTTGTAAGGTAGAATTGAGGTCATGATAGTGGGGGGGCGGGGGGAAAGCATTAAAGAGCTAAAAGAAAGTTGTATGTTTCATCGGTGCTATACTGCACCCTGACTGGCTGGTCTTGTCATTGTGACCCTTCTGTAAGGAGATGTCCAATTGTCTACAGATGGGCTTTGGGTCTCCACTCTGCACTCTCCCTCATTCACATTGATACGATTTTTTTGTTCTAGGTCTTTGATGCCTGGTCCTGATCCCATCAACACCTCATGATCACATAGGCTGGTGTGCTTCTTTCATGTGAGGTTTGTTGCTTCTCAGCTAGATGGCCACTTGTTTATCTTCAATCCTTTAAGACCCCAGACACTATATCCTTTGATAGCCGGGCACCATCAGCTTTCTTCATCACATTTACTTATGCACCTATTTTGTCTTCAGCAATCATGTTGGGAAGGTGAGCATCACAGAATGCCGGGTTATTAGAACAAAGTGTTCTTGCATTGAGGGAGCACTTGAATAGAGGCCCAATGTCTGTCTGCTACCTTAACAAATAGATTTTTCTTCAATCTTTTCATACCCAATATTCCAACTTTCACATGCACATGAGCTGATTGAAAATACTACGGCTTCATTCAAGTGCACTTTAGTTCTCACAATAAAATCCTTGCCCTTCAGGACTTTAAAGATACCTTGTGCAGTAGATGGGCCCAATGCAATGTGTATCAGAGTAGAACCAGGCTCCACAGGGTTTTCAAGTTTTTTGGAAGTAGATCACCAGACTTTTCTTCTAAGGCAATTCTGGTAGACTTGAACCTCCATCCTTGCAGTTAACAGCCAAGCACGTTAGCCATTTACAACACCTACAGAGGCTCGCATGACTAAATAAAGGCTAGATGAGTGCTTAGTACATGCTAGGCATTGTGCTAAAACACTATTGTCTATTTTCACACTTGATCTTCACAACCCTGTGACGTAGATAATACCTTTTTACTTTGCAGAAAGTCTTGCCGGGATCAGTAAATCTGTCCCAAATACAACCACCAAACCTACTGTCATTGAGACAACCTTGACCCATGTTGTTATTAGGTGCCTCTTTTTCACGTCCCCTATCTTATGAAGTATAATGTCCTTCTCCAAGGACTGGTCTCTCCTGACAACATGTCCGAAGTACATGAGACTAAATCTCACCATCCTGCTTCTAAGGAACATCCTGCCTGGACTTCTCCCAGCAGAGATCTCTTGATTCTTTTGGGAGTCCATGGTACTTTCCATATTCTTTGCCAACATCGTAATTCAAACACATAGATTCTTCTTTAGTCTTCCTTATTCAGTGTCCAACTTTCACAAGCATATGATTTGGTTGAAATTACCGTGGTCTGGGTCAGGCTCACCTTAGTCATCAAACTAACATCCTTGCTTTTCAACACTTGAAAGAGGTCTCATGCAGAAGATTTACCAAATGCAATGTGTCCTTTGGTTGGCTAAGTCTGAGTCATAGTGACCCTCTGTGGCAGTTACATAATCTACTGCAACCTGAGGAAGGGGTGGAGTCTAGCCTGTCAATCAGGTCACAACTTGATGACCTTATTTGGAGGCTCTAAGGCAGGGGTCCTCAAACTTTTTAAATGGGGCCAGTTCACTGTCCCTCAGATCCATTGGAGGGCCGGACTATAGTTTGAAAAAAAACTATGAACAAATTCCTATGCACACTGCACATATCTTATTTTGAAGTAAAAAACAAACGGGACAAAAACACCCAGCAACCTGGATAAATATCCTCGGTGGGCCACATGTGGCCCGTGGGCCGTAGTTTGAGAACCCCTGCTCTAAGGAGATAAATAGCTCACTGAAGGCCAGAAACAGTCTCCCTGCAAGACATTCCTGTTGACAAACCACAAGGAGCTATGCTGATGGAGCCACAGCCCTGGAGCTGGAGGAACCATGGAGACCCACGCCAGCACTGAGATGCTTTCACCGCCACTGGATCCACAAGACTTTCTACCCACTGGCCTGTGATCTTCCTGTATTCAGTGTCATTGCATGTGTTGTGTAAGTCTGAAGAGGAATTTACAGACTGGTATTGGACATATGGGCTGATATCGGACTAATGGACTTGATCTGGACTGGGCTGGGATGTTTTCTTAATATCCAATTATTCTTTAATATAAAACTCTTTCTTATACACACATGCGTGTCTATGAATGTGTTTCTCTAGTCCACCCGGACTAACACGCTAGGGTTTCTGAGACTGTCAATCTTCACAAGAGCAGACAGCCTCATCTTTATCCCAAGAAGCAGCTGATGGGTAGCAGGTCATCGTCTACCTGGCTCTCCTGGCATTCCTTGAAAGCACCACAGCAAGCCTAATTGCCTAAACTCTAAAGATCAAGCTCATCAGCTCCTTGGGAAAGACCTGAGCCTCATCTTCTCACCCTCCTCCTAGAGGACCAAGCACAGGTGCTTGGATTTCACTGAATGAGCGTGAACAGGAAAGGACATTTTAAACTGCTGAGCACCGGGCTAGTGTACGGTCGGATTAATTTCCCACACCTGCTGCCAGCTCGCATTCATGCCTCTTCATGACCATTGAGCTGGAGGGTCAATTCCTAATTATTGGGCCATTCCGCAGTTCTATGAGTTGCCTCAGTTCTACTCGGCCCTATAGCGTCATTATGAGTCAGACATGAGGTGAGTTGGGGTTTTTTTCTGTGTATTTCTTGTTACTGCTCATTTCCCCCCCTTTGTATCTGTTTTGGATTCTATGCAGCTCTTTCCTATACAAGTATAAAGTATAAGTCAGAAAATATTGCTACTAGGGTTTTAGTTATACATACAGCTATCTAGTTAATTCTGACTCTTGGTGACCAGACAAAATGTGTTTAAACATAGCTCTTGTAATAAGTGGTTGGCTGCAGACAAGTTCTATCAGTAACTCTCTTGACTTAGTCTCAGTAGGGTACCTTAAAGGAGGAGGAGGAAGAAGAGGAAATCCAATCAAAACAGTGGCTTCCTAAGGGCTATGCTAGGCCAGTTAAGGCAGAGGTCAGCTCAGAAGGTTATGGGGTCAAACTTGATAGATGTTCTCACTGGTCACAGGATGATCAGGGGAGGGGGCACTTAGTATGAAGATGTTTTAGAAAAGTTGAAAACTAGTGGTGCTGAGAAAATTTTTCCATCACGACCATGCACCTGGTCATTTGATGCTACCTCATGAGAATTTCATCCGGTAAACCTACCTATGGCTCAGATCTTGCCCTTTCAACTTCTTTTTGATCCCCCAAACTCAAAGAACATTGAAAAAGGTGCAGAATTCTTCAGGAAAGGGTTAGGGAGACAGAACCTTCCGAAGTTATGGACCTTGCTGGAGAACATGCAGAGAAAACAATAGCTTCACACTTTGATGTTTTTGTTTAATAAATGTTTGTGATTTTATATCAACACTTTTGTATTCCCCTTCTGAAATCTCAGGGCACAGTGAGTGCATTGGGTTTGTCTGATAGTTAAGCTGTTTGAGATCCTGGCCTGTGGCTAGTGCAGATCTGCCAGTGACTTTAATCAGACTCGATACTCTGATACAGATGGGTTTGGTGCGCCCACTGCCCTCCACAGCCTTCTACAAATTGGGTGTTCACAATTTAAGCTCTGATACTTTTTCCTTCATCATATTTGTATTTTGTCATCGATCTTTGGATCACACAGGCTGGTGTGCTTCTTTGATGTGGACTTAGTTTACACCTCACTTAGATGGCTGCTTATTTGAATACAAGCTGAAGTCAATTTTCAACTCGGTGAGAACCTGACAGTAAGTTCTCAACCAATACTAATAGCTTTGAATGATTTGTTTGCTTGCCTTTTAAAACTAGCTGCTCTCCACTCCTTCTTTTTCATGCCTATCACACTGCCTGGCACTAAGGAATTCAGCGAGGGTTGAAAGGGGCAGTTTCAGCTCAAGACCCGTGTCAACCCAAGGACAGGGAAGGGCGGCCGAGGAAGCGCTATAGCGCGAGAGGAACGCCAGGGGGAGCAAGAGGCCATGCAAACCAGATCTCGCGAGGGTTCCGGCGCGCGCTGCGAACTCGCCCTCTCTGGGCCGAAGCTCAGAGCAGGCAAGCCGAGCTACTCTAGGGCTCGCGGTCTCGCCGGTGTCTTGGTGGTTGCTTCCGGGTTATGCCCCCGGAAGCCGGAAGTTGTCGGCCTAGCCTCCTAGCTTGGCGGCTGCCGTCCCTGAAGCGGGAGGAGCCCGAGGGGGCGCGGGCCCCCGCATGTGAGTAATTGGGGCCGGAGGTTGGGAGGGGGTTGGCCGCCCTGTGACAGCCCCGCGCGCGCTCCTCCGTGACATCTCTCGCAGCTCTTCTCTCGTCGTTACTGTCACTCCCCTTGCCCCGTGCTGACTGACCCCTCTTCTCCGTCTCTGGCGCTTGGCAGCCCCGACTGCATACCCCTACCTCTCTCCCGGGGTCGGCTTTCAGCCGTCCTCTCCGTTCCCCGCTGTCGCTGGGGAGCAAAGCTTGGTCGCCTCTGTTTGAACTTCGGTCGCAGGTGTCACAGCAGTATCCTAAACCTGAACGGGGCAGCGAGGCCAGATTTCACTGCCCTTTGGAAAGATGATCAGTTCTTAGGATGCGGAGACATCCTTGTAGTTGTTTAGGTTCCCGTATGTAGGCTTTTCTTTCTTTTTTAAGTAGAGGCTTGGTATATGATACCCAAGACATCTGGAATTGCAGAAAGGAATGGAACCCGGGTGTCCTGACACCAGCAATTGAGCTGTTTCTAACAGCAAGAGGAAATGTCGCATTGTGTTGTGTAGACTGAAGAAGTAAGAGGGTTGTGTTGTGTAGACTTTCGAAGAGTAACCCTCCAGGCCTCCACTCGCTTGGTGTGAGAGCCCTCAAAGCCCTGATATTTGCTAATATAGTTCTTTGAAAAGTGTCAGTCTTCCATCAGAATTTAATAAAGACTGCTCTCAGATACTTCGCACTGTGACTTTTTCAGACTGCTCATTTTTAAAATTCCCCTGGTGGAATCTTCTACAAATGTCTCTCCCTTCACTTCTTTGATTTGATTATTAATTGGCACAGTTTCCTTCTAAAGAGAGACATGCCTTCATCTAAGTTCAGCTTTGCTACATTCATGTCTTGGCCTGAATGTGAGAAAGAGGCCCCGACTTGGACAAAGACCGTTTCAAGATCTCCCGTGGATCCCTCCTCCTAATATGCTCCGCTGAACTCTCTTCAGCCTGGTGCATTTTTAAAAAATGAATAAAAATTAACGTGACTGAAAGCTTCCAAACTAAACCCACTGCCTTTGAGCCAATTCCAACTCCTGGCCACTCTGTAGGACACAGTAGACACTACAGGACTTCCCCACAGGATTCCTGAGATTGCAAATCTTTAGAGGATTAGACAGCCTCATCTTTTTCCACAGGAGCGGCTGGTGGGTTGCAATAGCCCACACCTTTCAGTAGCCCATAGGTGATCATGCCATAGAGGAGTCGATTCTGGCTCGAGCACAGACGGAACCTTTATGGGAGCCACGTGAACCTCCCAACTATTCAGTCAGCTATCGAGTGCACACAGCCCTTGTCGAATCGATTTTGACTCCCAGCAGCCATATAGGACAGAGCAGAGCTAGTCCACCGGGTGCCTGGACCACAAAAGTGGAGTGCCATACCTTGTCCCCGAAGAACAGCTGGTGGGTTGAAGCCACTGACCTTTTGGTTAGCAGCCCCAGCACTTAACACACTGCACCACTAGGGCTCCTTTATGACCACATCAAACCAAACCGAATCAGTCCACCTGACTTATAGCTACTGTATTGAACAGAGTAGAACAGCTTGATCATGTTTCTAAGATGGCATTAGAAAGCCACATCAGTCTCGTAAGCAGCGGCTGGTGGATTTGAACTGCCGCTCTTGCAGTTGGCACCCAGTGCTTCTCCCACAGCACCACCGGAGCTCCTTATGACCACAGACCAAACCACCCCCACCCCCATAGCTGCTGAATCAATACTGACTCACAGGGACCTATATAGGGTTTCCAAGGCTGTAAATCTTTACCAGAGCAAATAGCCCCATCTTCCTCCTACAGGGCCACTGGGGGGGTTTACACCCTTAACGTTGCCATTAGCAGTTTTGCAGTTCTGTACTTACCTGACAATGCCACCAGGGCTCCTTATGACCACAGAGTGGGTGGGAGATACAGAATTTATATCCAGCTCTTTCTTACTGCAACACCTGTTTTTTTAACCAATGTGTTAAACTGTGCCCTAGCAGAAGATGGGAACCATGGAAGATGTTTTAAATAGTTCGGTAAAGCGAAGCAATGTGTTTCAGAAAAGTCACCTGTGGACAGGGCTGAGGAGGGGTCCAAGAAGAGGCCTGGAGGTATAGAGACCACCTGTGTCTCCATGCTGCTCCATGGGAAAACTGTTGAGGGCCAAGGTGCTGCCATTCATACAACTGTAATGGATTTGAGAACTGTACAGGCTGGTTCATGGGGAAGGATGAGGAAGGAGGAAGAAAGATGTTCAATTTGGAGGACCAGTGTTCCCACTAGTCAGGAAAAGGGGTAAAGGAAAAGGAATGAGTGGAAGGAGAAAATGATATGGGGGTGCTGGGGAAATCGGATCCAGGTTGTGTGGTTGCTAGGTAGGTAGGCAGAGCTCTGGAGAGAGTTCTAGACTAGAGGGAGAGATTTGGAAATCACCTGTGCTGGTCGTTAAAGCCTTAGAGGTGAGAGGGTATGAGAAAAGGGCCAAGGGTGTGCACTCTGGGGAGAGAAGAGGAGAATTCTGCCAAAGTTTGAGAGCATTTGTAGAAGATCCCGGGCAGCAATGCCAGCTGCTGCAAACAGAGCAGATAAGAGGTAACGGAAAGGCAGCCTTTGGACTTGGTGTTTAGCAAGGCTTTGGTGACCTTAGTGAGCGCAGTGTCAGCAGAGTCCGCGCAAGGGCAGGCACATGCTGGGGAACAAAGGAATGGGGATCTGAAGAGAAAGTGGGGGGTGGCACTTTTGCTCAAGGAACTTGGCTTGAAAAGGCTTGAATGAGCCCTGGACTCCAGAGAGGAATCTGTGTGTGTGTGTTTGTTTAATAGTAAAGCCTGAAAAAGGTGAGAATGGGAGCAGAGAGAGGTGTTAAAACCTGGTGCTTCTAATATGGCAGTGTCATAAAAGACCTAAGCAGGCAACCAGGCACACTCACACACACAGGGCGAGACCTAGTCTAGATTTACGTAGACCAGGGAGACACAGCATTCAGGGACTGTGTGATCATTGGTTGGATCCTGGGATTTTAAAGGCCATGGTGGCCTTTTGAAGAGTTGGAGAATTTTGACTATGTGCTGGTTATTAAGTGATATTAGAAAATGGCTAACATTTATAGGCATGAGAGGAATGCCTATAGTTATACAGAAAAATGTTCCTATTCTTAGGAGGTGCATGCTGAAATATTTAGAAATATTGCATGATGTATTACAGCTAATTTTCAAATGGTTCTAGGTTTTTAAAAATGTGATTCACACACAGAGAAAGAGCAAATATGGCTCCCAGCTAACAATTTATGACTTTAGGTAAAAGGACACAGATGATCACTGGACTCTTGGTTTCTCTGGAGGTTTGACGGTTTTCAGACGGAAAAGCGCAGCCTTGAGGATGTGTCCACGTGATCCCTTTCTTTCTTTCTGTACTCGGAGGTGATGCACACGGATTCCTGGATGGCAGCATTTCAGCCCTATGGCCTTAAATCAGTGTTCTTTTAAATCATATTACTTGTTCCAATATGTCATCAACAACTTTTTTTATTTAAGCATGATGACTTTCCCCCCCTTAGTGGTATTTGTTATAATCCAAGGACCACATCCACCCTGCCCTTTTTAGAAATTAGTGAACTTTGGTGGTATAGTGGTTATGAGTTAGGCTGCTAACAGCATGGTGAGTGATTTGAAACTACCAGCTGCTCCGAAGGAGAAAGATGGGCTTCCTACTCCCATTAACTTACAGTCTCGGAAACTCCCAAGAACAATTCTACCCTGTCCTGTAGGATAGCTGTGCATTGGCATTGATTCATGTTGCTGTCACCAGGGAAGGGCGGGGCAGGTGTGGAGCGCATCCTCTCAGGACTGCACCGCACCCTCACCTGGCTGACACAACTGGAAAGCTGAGAACCTTCAGGGAAAGGTCATATCGGGGATTAGGGTATATTTATTTCAACTGAGAAATCGACTTGTTTTCCAACAGGGCGAAAGAGATGTTTACATGTAGTCTGACCTTTTCCCTTAACCTCTTTTCTGCTGCAAGTACCTTTTACTGATAAGTTCTATCAAAGCCATCCTATCAGACATCGAGAGTGTGTTTTAGAGCCCTGCGCATAGCACCTGGCATTTAGGATGGGAGTGGTAAGCTGTAGTATAGACATACAGCTGGGCACACATCTTGCAGTTTCTAATGAATTCGGTCTTTTTCTCCCACGCTGCTAGCTACGAGGTCAGCAGTTCAAATGCACTACTGATCCAAGGGAAAGAGATGAGTCTTTCTGCTCCCTTAGGGATTGACAATCCTGGGAACCCTAGGTAGGGACCCCCGGAGCGAGAATCTACTCTATGGCAGTGGGTTTGGGGTTTGGCTGTGGCTGTTAGTTGCCGGCAAGGTGATCCACCCCCAGCGACCCTGTGTATGCAGACTCGCCCTGCTCTGCAGGGTTTTCAAGACTTTTGACCTTTCAGAAGCTGACCACCAGGCCTGTCTTCGCAGTGTCACTGGGTGGATTTGAACTCTCTGCCACTCAGCTAATAGTAAAGCACTTAATAGCACTAAGATCAGGAAAGGTGAAGTGGTTTAGCCAAGACAGTTGAACTGGCAACAACACGCACTCACTCACTGCCATAGAGTTTGATTCTGACTCATAGCAACCCTATAGGGCAGAGTAGAACTGCCCCTGTGGGTTTCTGAGACTGTAACTCTTCAACAGGAGCAGAAAGCCTCATCTTTCTCCCTCAGAGCAGCTGGTCGTCTCAAATTGCTAACCTCACAGTCAGCAGCTCAATTCATAACCCACTATACCATGTTGGTAGTTTGGATTTTAAAAACCAGGCTCCTTTTCTCCTGGTTGAGAGAGAGAGTGAGAGAGACGATGGTGAAATGCTGAACTACCAACTAGAACTGGAAAGCTGGGAGTTCAAACCCACCCAGAGGCACCTCGAGAGTAAGGGTGGCGATCCCTTTCTCTCTCTCACTGGCATGAAGTTTTTCTGACTCATAACGACCCTAG